TTTTTCATGGTTTCAGAGATTTTAGTCCATGGTCATCTGATTCCATTGCTTCTGGGCTATGGTGAGAATGAACATAATGGAAGAAGAATATGAATCTGCAGAGATGATGACTTCATGGAATCCAAGAATCAACACAGAGACGCTCAGGAGACAAAACAAGGCACGCCCCCAGTTACCTACTTCCTCCAAGGATGCCCCACATCCGAGGTCTCCACTACTTCCTAGTAATATCATCAAAATATGATTCCATGATAAATTAATTCAGTGAAGAAGTCTTGGACCTTCTGGTTGAAGTACTCTGAAAAAAAAAAGCCCTATTTGCTGAGTCTTCAGTGAGTTCTACTTGGATGCTCTCTTGTAATGACATTGATCCTTGCCAAGTAATTCAACGTAGATTTCAAATTCAAGGTCAGCTGCTGTGGTAGTTTGGATGGGATTTTCCTCCCTAACCTCCTAGGGAGGTGTGACTTTGTTGGAGAAAGTGCATCATTGAGGGGGTAGGCTTTGAGGTTTCCTATGCTTAGAATACCACCCAGTGTCTCAGTTGACTTCCTGTTGCCTGCAAGATGTCTGCCTGCTCTCTGCCATGCTCCCCGCCATGCTAATAATAGACTAAACCTCTGAAACTCTAAGCAAGCCACCCTGATTAAGTGGTTTTACTTCATAAGAATTGCCATGGTCATGGTGTCTCTTCACAGCCATAGAAACCCTAACTGAGACAGCTGGTAAGCAACCTCAATTCATATGCAACCTGAAGTTACCCTGTCCTGTAATTGGCCATATTTACAGGTCTGGGATTAGAGAGTGGGTATCTTTGGAGAAGACCTTATCTGGCCCCTACAACATAATTTTTATTATTCTTTAAAGCCAAATTTTCCTTCTGTCTTTGCTCTCAGGCAGGTGTTGAAGAGAGGCGTTTACACAGGCTTAATTGGCTGGGTGTATAGATAATACAGTTATAAAGGAGGCTAGCCTTTTATGCCTTTTCCTGCCCTAATTTTATTCCCTGCAATTGAACTATGATACAGTCTAACAAGGAAAAGCCAGATCATTTTGACAGCCCTGACCATCTCCAGGTGATGGATACATGTGTGGAAAAAAAAAATAGAAGGAACAGTACAGGCAGGAAGAAAGAGGCAGAGCAGAAAAGGCAATGCTAGTGTGGTTGTCTCTCTTCTCCCATCCTAACGACTCCTCTAAGGAGCTAGAATCCATACACTTCACACTGTGAAAGCAAAGACTTCGGTGGGTTTTAACACATCCACAAAGTTGTGGGACCACCACGACTATATGAGACTAGAAAAGAAATCATCCATCACCCCCAAAGATACCCAGTTTCCACCGATAGTCACTCTTCATTGTGCTACAGGAAACACTGATCTCTCCCTGTGAATTTGCCTCGTCTGGGCATTTCATAAATGGAATCGTGTAATATATGGCCGTTCGTATCTGAGTCCTTTCACTTAGCATAATGCCGTCCCTTAGCGGCTTCATTCCTTTTTATGCCCAATCATCTTCCGTTGTCTTGTTATTACAGCATTCATAGTTGATCGTCACTTTGGATTGTTTCCACTTTTTGATGATGGTGAATAATATTGCTATAAATATGCATTACGAGGTTTTGTGCCTACATGGTTTCAGTTCTCCTGGGTATATACTGGGAATATAATTTTGGGTCATTTGGTGTCTGTATGTTTAACATTTTGAGGAATTGCCAAACTGTTTTTCAAGCATGCAGCTGCATCATTTTGCACTCTGTGCAAAAGCGCTTGCGGCTTCTTTGCCTCCACGGTCTCACCCGCACTTGGGCTTCTCTGTGTTTTGATTAGAGGCAGCCTGGTGGCTATGGAGTAGTACCTCTGTGTGGTTTTGATTGATATTTCACTAATGACTAATGGCACTGAGTATCTTTTCTTGGCCTTTGCAGGGTTATCTTTCCAGCTTCACTGAAACCAACTCAAGCATTCAACAACAATGAACACTATTGATGTTTCCCTCTTTCTTGAAACTCCCCCTTCTCTGGGCTTCTGGAAGTTATCATCTCTTGGTTTATATACTTATTGTGTTCGTAGGTTGAGTCCTAGGTCTCTTCCTTAGAAGGCTGTGCACTGGCTTTGTCATGATTTCTCGGTCCTGAGAAGCTGAGTGGGATGTCAGAATCCTGTGATTAGGCTGTCACTTAGCAGTCTATGTCAGTGTATCATGTATCAGGAGGAGGTGGGATGATGCCCTCAGGGAAAAATCACCTAGACAGTGAGCTGTTTACTACATTTGGTATCACAGCAAGTTTTAAATGGTATCTGGTGATGGAAAGTGGCATTTCCAGAACTGAATGGTAGCAGCCTATAGAAATAGCTCTGATGAGTAAGCCCAGAGGAGTGGGGGATAGAAAGGGAATCAGAGACAGGTCCAGACCCCGGAGTCACTGGCATGACCTTGGGGACGGGCAGAGAGGGTGATCAGTGCTAGAAGCCTGGGCAGCATATGGAGATAGCTCTCCACATACCACAGCAGGACAGGCCAACAAGGTGTTTCCTCAGTGCATTTCACAGGGGTAGACCTAAGAACAAAAGGGACGGTCTGAGTCAGTGGCTCTCAAGTGAGCAGCATCACTTGGGGAATTATTAGAAAGTAGATTAGAACGTCCCTAATTTTAGTAGTACGTAGCTATTTACTGCTGTTTGGTAATCAAAACAACAGAAACAGAATCTGTGAGAAGAGATGCTTTCATGGTGGCCCCTTTAAGGAGCTTCTGAAATACCAACTTTGCTAATATAAAACCAGTCACTGAACATGACCTCCGATCATCAGATTGCATTCTTAGCAGTAATGCTGTCCCCACTGCATCTGTGTGTGTTGAGAACACTCTGCTAAGTAGTACCACAAGCGTATGACAACCATGCGCTTAGCAGATTTCACATGTCAGGTCCATAAGGTGGGGAGGCTGCAGTGCCCCTTACAGCGAAAGATGCTAAGTCACAGGCCTGCCGTGGCAAGGTAACACAGCTAGTAGATAGGTGGTCCAACAGGATTGTGTATACTGTATTCCAGGTAAAAGCTGTTACTGTTATGTTCTGTGCCCTCTGGCAGTATGAGTACAAAATTTTGCTCTGAAAATTGTGATGACTTATATGTAAGGAATGGGGTGGAGAACAAGTAGGTGACATCAAAGAAACAAGAGAGAAAGGGTCTTGGTGAGAAAGGAAGGGAGGGGAAAAAGGAAGATTTATATCAGGATTTGCAAGTGAAGACTGGGGGACAGAGGGCTCTCACCCTGTTCTCAGCCATTTCCCTTCCGTGTCTTCTCTGGTCTGAAGTCTGATTCATTAAGCTACTCTGCATGGTTACTTTCTTCTTGGGCCCATGTTGCAAGGCTTTCTTGTAAGAATTTGGTTCCTAGGTAGTTTGTAACTTACTTCTCCATGTCTGTTTGTTTCTGTATCCCTCTTTCTTTGTTCACATTTGAAACTTAAGTATGTCTATGTCCCATTGGCTCAAGGGTTTGAGGTTGCCTTCCCCATGAGCTGGAGGTGATTTGGGCAGAAACATGTCACTGTCTGGGGACTGTGTACTCAGGAGCTGACGTGAAACTCTTCTTTGTTTCATTCACCTTGGACATCCCAACTTACTGCCTCTCCTGTATACCTTATTGTTCTCCCTTTCTTGTACACAAAACCACAGGATATTTCACGTTCTGTTCCCTGGAGGTCCATCGTTGTAGCCCAGCCGTAGGAATCAAGATAGGGTGTGTGTGTGTGGGGGGGGGTGATTGGAAATGTACTTTGATTCTTTGCCTGTCTTTTCATATTTTGGCTTTTCCATTTTCCTTTCTCTGTAATTAATAACAAGCGTAGGAAGTTAGCTCAAGGCTATGAATAAGGTTTAGGTTTAGAGAGATACAATAGATACCATTGGTAGAGTAAAACTCCCAAGTAGCATTTTAACCCTGAAGAATATATATTGAATTAGATACGCTGTGATCCTTAAGTCATGATCTCTGACTAATAAGTCTGCTCTGTCTATTACATGGGTGCTTTAGTAGATTAGACCAGGGAAATGAGGGATTTAAAAGATTAAGTGAAGGCCAGTAAGATGGCTCATCAGTAAAGGTATTTGCTGCCCAGACTGACAACCTGAGGTCTATTCCCAAAATGCATCTGACCATCATACACATATGCACACATGCGTGCTCACACACACACACAAGCACACACACAGACATGATTGCACACACACACAGACAGACACGTCTTAGATTTATTTTTTAAAAACTTTTTAAAAAGATGAAGTTTACAGAATTACTGTGTGATGGTAATGAAAATGAATAAGAGGACAAGACCCATGTGACGTCATTTCCTGTGAGAACTCTACTACTCTCTGCTCAGAGCCCTGATCTCTCTGAGTATTCGTTTTTCCTTCTGTAAAATGAAGATCACTTCAGAAAAGAACTGGGAAGTACTCCATGAAATACCGTCCAGGATTAATACAATCTCTGGTTGTCATGGCAAATAAGAATGAACGAGAGCTGTCTGTCTTACATAATTAGTAGTCAAAGCCAGTACTCTTGATTTGGCCCACACTACTTCCTCTTTTCACCAATTCCCCGGTTATTTATTCAGTTCTCTCTTGACCAGTCCTTCTCTCTTGTCAGCTTCAGAGTCACAGTCACAACAACTGTCTCTGAAGACACACTGTCATTTCAAAGCCTTGGCTAACTACAGCCCAGGCTGACAGTGACGCATGATTCCACAGAGCCTGTGATGCACGCTGACATCTCCCTCAAGCTCCCGTAGGCCGCCAAGTTGTATCCCTCTTGTTCTGTGTTTCTCCTCTCGCAGCAGATTTCAGATGTAGTTTCTGAAAGTGATCATCAGCCTCTCCTGAAGAATAATCCAGCGAGAACCCGTGGAGGGTAATTGGCCTTCGGGAGAGCATCACTGTCAAGTCAAGGGAGGAAGGTGAATTAAACACATTTTTCTTTCTTTCTTTTGTACCTCCAGCATGTGCATGTCCACATTCTTCCGAGAAAAGCAGGGGACTTCAGCAGGAATGACAGCGTCTATGATGAGGTGAGTCTGTCCTTTGTGACCTTATTATTGGGTCACAAAACCTGTCAGTGTGACTGAATCAACCCAATTAGCTAGTCGTCACCCCAGACACGATCTTAAATGGTATTCTACCCAAGAGGAACATGGGAAGTGGCAGTAGAAGCTAGCAAGCTTGGAGTGACCATCAGGGGCAAAAGAACTGAATTATATATATATATATTTTAACTAATGAAAGCCAATAGCAAACCAAGTGTTCTTGTGATTTCTGCTTTGTCATGTTTATCAGGACACTTAATATCTGTGTGAAGACAGGATCCTGGATCTCCATAATGTAAAGTGTTACCAGTAGAAGTCAAGCAAAGTGTCGTATGATTCTTTGAGATGGGTGTGCTAACTTTGGGAGCTGGAGAGATAACTCAGTGGATATATTGCTTCCATGATAAGCATGAGAACCCGACTTTGCTGCAATCCAAAGATACCAATGTCAACTCAGCACTCTGTGAATCATGAAGGGCCACATGATTCTACTCTGGGGTCTTATCCACATGAAAACCTTCCAGTGTCTGCATGTGCTGGGTAGAACATTGCCTGGGGTAGAGTAGGCTAGAAGAAAATGTAAAGTTATTTCACTTTATGTACTGACCATAGCAGTGGAACAGAAAATATATTTCTTGCTTTTGAGAGCTGATCACATGGTACCAGTGCCCCAGGGTCATTGCATTAAAAACACTTTGGCTGTAACAAGGAAAGGTGCTTGGCTTTATTGGCAATGTCTGCCTTGGGTGTCAAGATAGAAAAATATTAGTCACATATTTGATTATCTTCTTCCAGCCTTTTGGGGGAAAAATTCACTTTTATTTTTAACTTTACTTGTTTATTATGTGTCTCTGTCAACTAGACCTATAAGAAGACAAGATCTTCAACTTGTCCCCAAGGTCTACATGAACTGGATATATCTCTGTGTGTTCATAGGGTTTTCTCTAATGAGCTAGGCTTTAAAATGGTTATCCAAACATTGTAAATAAAGAATGTCAGCATTTAGTAAGGACATACGTTGATGTCTGCTCAGGGACTCGGTGGATCACTTGATGTATTCTTCAACACTACTGTGAACTTGTGTAAGCTAGACATTGCTTAGCTACAGTTTTGAGAGCTGACTTGTGACCTAGAAGATTTCTGAAATTATTATTTATTTAGGGATATCTTTATCTCTAGAAATTGTGTTTGGATAGATGGCAAAGGCACATGAGAACAAATTATTAAAGTACCCAACCCCTCACCCCTCACAAGTGATTCTGATACAGTTATAGATGGTAGAGTAGGTCCTATGCACAGCCTGGGCTTCCCAAAGCCTCTGAACACTCTAGATGTGAACTCCGTTCAGCAGATGTGAAGTGCAAGCTGGCAGTTGGTAATGGCTTTAAGTCTGTGTGGGAAGAAAGTAAGAGCTACAGAATCATTATACAGAGATATATTAAATATACAAGTACACAGCTTATTAATGTAAAGCAAGGTTAATAAAAATGTTGCCAAGTACAGGATATTTTAATGAATAAATTACCACATGATTTATATACAAGTGAATGCACTTGGAGTGGCATTAAAAGTGCTTGAAAACACTGTTTTCTTAGGCCGATCAGTCACCTTGAATCTTGTTTATGTACCAAATGGGCTATTGACAGAAGCTGTGTGCATGCATTTCAGCTCCGTCCAAGACACAATGGCTGACGTTGCACAGTACCTGGCTAATACTCTCTTGCCCTTCTTGCACACTCCAGCGACATCTCTCGACTCACAAATAAAGCAACACATGTTACTACAGCCCATATATCCCTCTATATGAACAAGTAATTTCCAAAAGAACTATTTTTTCAGTCAATATTAGCTTATAGTGTAATATTAGCTTACAATATGCTCTACAGAGATAGTGGTACAAAACTAGAAAGTGGTTAAATAGATTAAAGTTCATTGCAGCCTACAGAGGGGGAGACTATCATTAAAGCCACTTGGCTTCCATGTCTTAATTTTCTTATCTTTAAAATGAATAATGCTTACCACTTCCAAACTTGGCATGCCTATTATGGGACATAGAGCTACTAAAAGCAGATTTTGAGGATTGGTACATACTAAACATTTATTAGTAGGTTGCTACTTATTATTGTTGTTACTAATTTGCCTTAGAACATATACCGAGGGTAAGTGACAGGTAATCTAGGTTTCAAAATAAACTGTTAGATGTTATCATTTAACATTCTTTGCCAGGGTGAGTAAAACATCGTGCTTCCAATTTTCCCTCTGCCTTTAGCTACTCAGCCTCAGCTTGATCTTCCTCTTCGTTTGAGAAGTGTCTCTCGTTTGAGTACAGAATAAGGCAATGCCTAGCAAAAGGCATGGGAAGCATAAAGCATCGTGCAGGCCTTACTGGTACAAGATGTAATATACATTAGACTGAGTGATGTTAATCAGAAATGATAGGGTGATGAGGGATGACATTCCTTATACTGATGAAATCACTCACTCACTGGGAATTGTGTAGACACAACAAACAGGCCGGCTTGGAGGGAGACAAGTGGGAAATAGAAATAGCAAGAGACCAAGCCCAGTAAATGCATTTGCACCCCTATGATTACAGTCTACAGTATGATACCTAAAGAAGCCCCAGGTTGAATTTACTCATAAGGTGACATTCTTTGTTAGCACAGTTTTAAGATGAATAGCGATAATGGAGAAGCTTCCCAGAAGGCGTGCAGGATGGCAAGTTCTGGGAACAGAGAAAGGGGATGAAGATTGGGTACAAAGACACTTGAAAGGGGAAACAGAATATGTATAAATAGAGGACGACATAGTCACTGCTTCTAACATTCTGGAACATTTTTTGAAAGGACTCTAAACATGTCCGATTTGTCATTAATACATTCCGTGCGGCTTCTAAACACAGATCTAGGAGTATCAGGCTACAAGGAGATTGAAGTCAACATCAGAAAAGGATAGACCACATTTAGGAAAAAGCTTTGAACCGTTAGAATGACATTTGCCTGAAAGGGTGATTCCATCTTTGGATCCCTTCAGGTCACAATTGGTCAGAAGTGTGTGAGGTCACTATGGGGACCACGCGGTTGCACTGCCTGCCTCTCCATATCTGGCCCGTTCTCCCGTTTATGGCCATTGTCACTGCAATTTCTGAAAAATGGTGCCATTCTCTGGTTAGTATTATGGCACTTGGGCAGCTGACTATCCAAACATTCTTTGTTTAGTTCTTAGAAATACAAGATGTAACTCTTTCTTGCCTTGTATGAGACTGTATTCTATCGATTTGTCCTCATTTCCAGCAGCCTCTTCTCGACTTTTCTCTAGCTCAGCAATGCATACTGATGATGCGTAGGCTTTGCTGGCTTCCCCGCACGGGTTCTGTCATTCCCTGCAAAGTGCTTTTTAATGATGTGCTTCATTTTTGTCTGAAAAGTAGTTTTTAATGAGGCTGGATGCTGGTAAGCATGTCACTCATGCTATAGGTCAGAAGGGCTCCCACGATTCTGCCTCCTCCCTACACTTCCATCCCTCACTTAGGCCGTGCCCATGCGTCTTTCCAGGCTCTTCACAAATTAAAGCCTTTCCCCCAAATGCAGCATGAAAGGTCAGTATTAGCGGTCCTGGTTCCCCAAATCCTCTAAATTTGAGCTCCTGCCCCAGGTCCTCTCTTACCTTGATCATTCAAATGTCACTGCTCTCCGGAACATCTGTCTGGCTCAGAATTTCATGACAATCCGCTTGTAATATCCATTTCACCCTTCTGTTTGTTTCTTTATTTCCAATGCTCTGGCCAAAGCGATTTCTACAGATTCAATGTTGGGTCTTGCCTGCGCTTCTGCCACCAGTAAGTCCCCTTCCCATATAACTTGTTTTTGCCAAACAGCATTGGCATTCCTCGGGGCCTTTGTACAAATTGTTCTCTTTGCCTGTGGTGTCTGCCATCTGTTTCCATTGACGTACATCAGTGTCTTTATCCAAATCTTAGGTCAAGGCCACCCCCCTAAAAGAGCACTCCTTCCTTTTTTTAAGATTTAGCTAAAATAACCACTCTTGCCTTACCACCATAGCTCCTTCCTATTAGCATGCCAGTTACATCCTTAACAACTCACTCCAGATAATTTTCAGTTGATATGCAACACCTGCATCGCCCAAGTACATTGCAAAGCTTTGAGAGCAGGGACCATAGCCTGGTATAAGTTAGGTCCTCAGTAGATATCTGTCACTAGAGGCACGTATGACAGGACAAGAGTCACACTCCAGGAACTTGCCGGCCCCTATAAGCTAAAACCTACTATAACAAGAGAGTGCATCTTGCTTTCAAGAGGTTGATTCATCAACTCGTGGCTTCCCTGGGTGTGAGTGGAACATGGTGCCATCAGCCATCTAAGGGTAATTTAATGGGGTGTTGATAGAACAGAACCCTTTGGTCCGAAATCAGTGTGCTGCAGAAGGCTGAAAAGTGTGGCGCACCAGAAAGGTTTGGAGAAGCAATTATAAACCTCATCTGATTGCTAAGCAAGTCTGGTAGCCTTGTGTCAAGGACGATAAGAGACTTTTCCCCTGGAAACCTCGATCTGTCTTCCTGTAACAAATACAGATGTGAGGTTTGCTGAAAGCAGGCTGGAGGCCCACTCTGCTTTCGTTCTTTAATTATCGTCCTGGAGTTTATCTTCAATTATTCTCCCTCAAGCTTTGTGTCTTAGACTTGTCCTTATGCATTTTACTCACCTTTCCAGTCCCCAGATTTCAGAGCAGGAGGCTTTCTCCTCTCCCCCAAACTAAGGGTCAACTCCACCCCTTCCAAAACATACAGCTCTCTCTTCACTGTTCTCCATAGAGCTATGGGAGAAAATACAAACTCTGTGTTGTATTTTCTTGGAACTTGCATGAATTATATAAGGCCATCTCTGAACTCTCCAGCACCTCTATTATCTTGACAAGTTGATGAAGATTATGATAATGACATAAATGGTTCCTTGGATCAAAGAGCA